AGGGGGAGGGGGAGGAGAGGGAGAGGGGGAGGGGGAGAGGGAGAGAAGAAATAATGAAGGAATTTTACTAGCTGGCGATGGTGGTGTATGCCTGTAATCCCAGAACTCAAGAGCATGAGGCAGGAGGATTGTCAGGAGTTTGAGGCTACTTTGTAACAAGTACCAAGGCAGTCAATGCTACATAGTGAGACCCTATCTCAACAAACAAACACAAAAGGCAGATCAGGAAGGATGGAAGGCAGGAAAGAGGGATTCCCCATCACCCTCTCAATCCCCAGAGTTCCAAGTTCCTTCTTCCATTGGCCTCTGATCAATGAGTAAGTTCTTTAGCCTGGAGCCCACCCCTGGCCAGAGCCCTCAAAACACTGCAGAGAGCAGGGGTGTCGGGCTGTGATTCCCGCCTCTGCTCTCACACTCCAAGCACTCAGTTCCGGGCACTGGAGATGGCTAGTGGTACCCGTGCCCCGACTGAAGCCCAGGCCGCTGAGGGCTTCACCGTGCAGAGATGAATTAGACTCAGTCTCCTGGCGGCTCTCCTCCTTCTTGGTGTTTTATTTACCATTGCTCCTTTGCCACACTGTGTAGCTTGCTTCCTACACTGGGAAAACTTGGGACATTCTTTTGCTTCCTTTAGGCATTATTACTTTGTGGAGTTTGCACAAATGTCAGGGACATGAGCCCAAATTTTGACTTTGTGACTTGTCGTCGTCAGGCCCTTGAGAGACTCCCTCTGTCTTCTTGGATTGAGCTTTGACATGGAAACAACGCAAATGCCTAATGCCACCCAGTGTGCTCAGCACACATTCCTTTTCTTCCCTTCCTGCCTCCAAAATTGTCCTTTTTGGAATTCTAATCGAAGTGAACAGACAGCCAAATAAGCCACACAAAGGCATTGGCAGGGCTCTGCCACCAAGAGCACTCAGCCGCCATTCCTGGGACCCAGTAGCAGCGTGTGCAGAGGAAAGGGAACCCCAGCTGCCGCCCAGAGTGCTAAGAAAAGCCTGGCAGCGGCCCAGTTTTCAATATATTTCCTTTTGCCTGAAGTTATTTGTTTTTGTTTATTGGTGGCTAGAGGCTGGTGGCGGGGCCTCATACACACTAACATATTCTCTACACTTCATACACATGCAGCTTTATCCCCAAATATCAACTTCTCTGCCACTGGGTAATCTGGAAAATTAAAGTGGGTTAGGTTAAGCAATTTACAAACCATGCAGGAGGGCTTTTTTTTTTTTTAGACAAAACCTCACTGTGAAGCCCAGTTTAGTCTCAGAACTCATGATCCTCCTGCCTCAGCTTCTCGAATATAGGGGCACAGGCATGTACCATGGCACCCAGTGTGTTTTATTTTAGCTTTAGTATGGATATCATCGTTAATAATGCTCTTTCATCTTGCAGCACACAGACAGGTGATGATGTGTGACACAGGAAGAGTCTCCAGAGAACAGCAGAGGCAAATATGGCTGCAAAGCAGCCCATGATGGCCTGCTTGCCGCTGCACATGGATTACGCACAGTGGCCTTAATTATTTGTTTTCCTTTTGAAAATGCCCTCACAAAGAGCGGCCTGCTCACAGCATGACACGCATAGGCAGGAGGAAGAGTGTGTTTTCTCTCGTACTTTCAGTGGATACACGCAGGGATTCTCAGCCATCATGAGGCAAAGGGTTCAGTTATCGACTGGCTGAAACGCCCACTGGTTTGGTTGATATGTGGTGCTTTCAAGGTTTGAAAATGAGATTGGGGCTGCCTGGTGATGGTGGTGTGTGTGCACCTTTATTCCAGCACTCGGGAGGCAGAGGCAGGTGGATCTCTGAGGCCAGCCTGGTCTACAGAGTGAACTCCAGGACAGCCTGGGCTACAGAGAGAAACCTAATCTCAAAAAAAAAAAAGAAAGAAAGAAAAGAAAAAAGAAAGAAAGAAAGAAAACATGAGATTGGAGGACTTGCAGATGAAAAGAGCCAGAGGGGTTGAGAGACGCAGCATTTCTAACAACCAGGACTTGACCTGAGTCTGGATGATATAAAATCCACTCCTAGAAAACGAGGAAGAATTCTCATCTCTTCTTCTGATTGCTTGGCTTGTTTCCAGAGTGCTCACAGCAGATATCACCACTCTAGGGACACCACCGTAAGTCCAGTCAGTGCTCATGTTTCAGCAATGGAACCCATTGGTTCTGGTGGTTAAATCTGCACAGGCTCCAGGTTGCATATGAGATCAACCTGTAGTCTGGACGTGACCATTGGGGCATGTCAGGGTCATGGTTGTATAGGCAACTTCCTCAGGTTGCAAGTGTTCATGGTGTGGTTGGAGAATGAGAAGCAGTGATTACTGTGTAAGAGGGGTGGGGTGAGATAAGGTCTTGGGACACAGCCCAGTTTGATCGTGAACTCACAGTCCTCCCTATCCTCTCTGCGGTATGCTCCACTGTATCCAGATTACTGTATTTTATAATCAGACTGTACAGTCCTCTCTGTTGCCAGAGGATAGGCTCAAAAATATCCATGCATTGTGTCTTTACCCGATGGGCAGAAAACACATTGGATTATGGCTTACTGCCCTAGACTGGGGATTGAACCCAGGGCCTTTTGCTGCTCCACAAAAGTCCTACCCCTGCATGGCAGACCTAGCTCCAAGACTGTAGCATTTAACAGGCAGTTGAGAGAATGACAACCATCAGTCAGGTCCCTGCAATCACATAAAGCCACCCTAAACCGTGCATAAGCAAATGGGCATCTCATGTTCCAGTCAAACCGTTTCTGACACTACCATTTTAATGTTAAAAAAGACTTCATTACATGTCTTCAAGGGAGTCTGACTACCACAGTGCAAAGGTCCAAAGACAGTTTTCAGGGGTTGTTTCTCCTCTTCTACCATTTCCAAGACCAAAACTGGGTCCTCAGATTTGATCCAAAAGTGCATTTACCCACTGTGACATCTTCCTGCTCTTCCCCCCCCCAAGACAATCTTACTACTGATCCTGGCTGAGCTAAAACTATCTAGACCATGTTGACCCCAAACTTGCAGCAACCCTGTCTCTGCCTCCAAGTACCACGGCTACAAGGATGTGCTGCCGCACCCAGCTTGAAATTAGAATCTCATATGACTTCATGCGTCACAAAATGTTCCTCCCTATGTGTAATAGAAAGTACAAGAGAAATCTAACTGGAGAAGAATGGAATCAGCTGGGGAGTGGATGGGGCAATGCGCCTGTGGGGAGGATAACTGACCTAGTTAGGGTTTCTATTGCTGTGAAGAGGCACCACGACCATGGCAACTCTTATAAGAAAAACACTTAATTGAGGGGGCTCGCTTACAGTTTCAGATGTTCAGTCCATTACCATCATGGCAGGGAGCATGGCAGCATGCAGGCAGATGTGGTGCTGCAGGAGTAACTGAGAGTCCTACATCTTGCAGGCAGCAGGAAGTCAACACTGGGTGGTATCCTGAGCATAGGAAACCTCAAAGCCCGCCCCCACAGTGACACACTTCCTCCAGCAAGGCCACACCCACTCCAACAAAGCCACACCTCCTGTAGTGCCACTCCCTATGAGATGATGGGGGCCAGTTACATTCACACTACCACAGTAACCAACAGGACACCCTCGGACACATGCATATGAAGATGCAATGATAAAGCCCATTACTTTGTACTCCAGTCTAAAATCATTAACTTAAAATAAAAGAGTGGCCGAGCGGTGGTGGCAGCACACGTCTATAATCCCAGCACTCAGGAGGCAGAGGCAGGTGGATCTCTGTGAGTTCAAGACCAACCTGGTCTACAGAGCTAGTCCAAGACAGGCTCCAAAGCTACAGAGAAACCCTGTCTCAAAAAACCAAAATAAATAAATAAATAAATTAAAAAGTGAAATATTCTTCCCTTTAATTATTTTCAATTATTCACGCTTAGCTCTTAGACCATATGAAAATGGGAAGTAGATTGAATTTAGCTCATAAGCCATAGTTTGATGATCTGAGAGGAAGAAAGCCAGGATTTGAAGCCACACAACAAGTTTGGATGATCCCCTAAGCATTATTTACAGTCTAGAAGTGAAAATGAAAGCCAGGAACTGCATAGAAAATACAAAGGACACTTTAGCAATCTTTTATAAAACCACCATCCAGATATGGACTCTAGGAGGGGTTTTCTCCTATTATATCTACTGTCTCCAGGTGTTAAATTTTATAATTCTAGTTTTTCACTAATGAGAAACTACATGATAATAATGAAGAGGAGGAAGAGGAGCTGTACAGTGCGAGGTTCATTTAAAATACTAGGAAGTATATTACTAGGGAGTGAACAGTCTCCTGCCACACATGCGGCACACCTCTGCATTTCTGTTCTTGAGGTTTTGAAATCCTCACTCTGAAGCAGGGGGGCAGTGAAAGGCTTTGCCGCCAGACCTGCATCTGATTCTCCTTACCCTTTTTCTGTCTTTCCCAAAGACAGAATACAAAGTCATGCACATTGTACCTATCCCGCGCCTGGCTGGCATCGATGCAGCAACACCCGCCTAGCCCCCAACGCCATCCACAGGAAGTAGACGATTTTGCAAAGGACTACAGAGAAAACGGAGGTTCCCGTTTGTGATGGGAAGTCTATGTTGGGCATCCCTGGAAAGAGGAAGGGGGTGGGCGTGCTCAGAAAGAGACCTCACTCCGCCCTCCTGCCTGCCCCGCCTGCCCCACCCCAACCAGGTTCCAGCCCAAGTCATTTAAAAAGTTGTTGGAAGGGTTTCCAAACTGAGGCAGCAGCAGGTGGCCCTCTGGCATAGCAGAGGCAGAGCTTGCTCTCAGGCAGAGGATGTCCTCCAGGTCAGAACAGGGAAAGAATTCTAAGCCCAGTGGCAGCGAGATGAGCATCGAGCTGAGGCCAACAGCCCCGGGCAACCAGGGTCGCAGCAACGCAGCCTTCCAGGTGAGCAGGGCTGAAGGGGACCAGGGAACCTGCTGTCTTCACATCTGGCAAGCTTAGTAACTGGAGCCGTGGGCTCGCTGAGCCACGGAAAGAATGTTAATCTGTAATGGGTACGCTTTAAGCCCATTATTTCTTCCGACTTGGACTCCTCTGGTTGATAAACCTGAAAAGTGTCTTTCAAGGTCTTGTGTTGATCTAGACTGCACTCGTCACTCGGGAAACAGACTGTCGCCTTTTTCCTTTCTGCCTCTGGACTCACAGCAAGTTTCAGGATTTACCCTCAGGTTTCTTCCCCGAGATCTGGACCGGGGAAGAGCAGGGGCCTCAGACCCCAGTGGAGGCAGCAGAAACCCGAGTGGGTTCTCAGCCCCCGTGGAATGTAGCCCAGGAGCCTGGCCAGGACAGCCTAGTTACGCAAAGCTGTGTCCTCAGCCAGGACTAGTGAGTGATTAATACTACTAGTCTCGGGGCTGGGTGCCACAGGTGGCCCAAGAGGGAGGTCAGTATCTGAGCTTGCTGTAATGTTCGCCCTGCCCGGGAACCTGGATTTGCGTTGCTCCTTATTTGTCGAGCAACAGAGTTTTGAAAAGATAGGAGGCTGACTTAAGCAGGGCTCAGTAACCCTTGGGTTTCATGGGCACTCAATGGGCAGAACACAACTTTTAAATGCCAGCCCAAGAAGTGGAAGGTAGAAGTGCTTGGTATGAGCCTGGTCTCTTCCACCGTCAAGTTACTGTAAGTTCCGGAAGACCAGGTTTGATTGTCTATCAGTAGTCACAATGGCTCCCGGCCCGTGGTTTATAGGTATAAGGAGTCCTACACATTAAACTGGTAAAAGACAAGTTGGTGGGAAGGAGGAAAATCATACAATTTTTATTAGCATTTTAAAGTGCTCATGTATGGTGTCTCAGAAAAAAAGAGGCGGAGAGTCTGCAGGGGTGGTGTGTGAAGTCCAGGGCATGTGCACCATTTCACCACGCAGCTGTGTACTGTGCAGATGTGACCGGGAAAGACAAGGGACTGGGCTTTTGGGTCAGTAAGTTATTGCAGTGACTAGAAGTAGATGGAGAGTTCATGGAAGATAAGGGTTGTTGTCTTGAGCTTTATTTACGCAGACTTCCCTGCTAAAGGGTCACTGGCTCAGGTCTCTTCCCGGTGCAACATGGGAGGGAAACCTGTGGGCTGCATTAGGAAGGCCAGGAGCACGGAGTCAGCTTGGCACACTCTTGGGGGACCCTGGCATGCTTGGACGGTGGCACAGCCTTGAAAGGTGCTGTCATAAGCACGAAGGGAAGGGAGCTCAGACACGGGAGCTGCCACTCAGAGGGAAAGGAAGCTTGGTGTAGAATAACGTCACAGTGGAGGTGGCAGCGATTGGGGGAGGGCTCTGCAGGTCTGTGTCACCAGCAGCTGGCTACTCGGACAGAAGGTGCGGTGACGGTTCCATTTCTTTTTTCAACCCTTCCTGTTCTCTCTCTCACAGCGCAGGTACCACCCCTGGCAAACAGAGTCCAAGTTACTCCTTCCTCCCAAGTTTGTTTTGCCAGGAGTTGGGGGATTTTTGTACACCCATATTTGCTAAGCAGAACCATTGCCTGCCACCCTAAATGTGGCCATCCCTAAGAGGGAAGGCCGGTTCAAGCAGAGAGCCACAGCCTTTGCCCTCAAGAAGCAGAGCAGGGCACCAACTCACAGAAAGATGCAACAGAAAAGGAGGACCTGAAAACCAGTGCGGAGTTGGAGCTGAACCTACTGGGAGCATGAGGGCTCCCTGGAGGGAGGGAGGGCTTCAGGTGGGGCTGTCTGATGAGGTCACGAGCTGTCTGTCCACAGGCCTGGGGTAAGAGAGGGGCCGGGGTAAGAGAGGAATGCAGGTCCCAGCAGAGGTGGGGCAGGAGCGCAGGGTGAGAAGAGGCTGTGGCACCTGATGATGAGGTCTCTGAGCAAAGCACTAAAGAGGAAATCTCCAGTGACAGATTGTCAAAGATGCTCTTTGTGACCCTATTGAAGGATGGCTGTGTGGATGGGACACCAGCAAGGAGACCAGGCCACAGGCATGGGCAGGTGCCACAGTCCAGGCACTGACAAGGAATGAGCCGCTCCAGGGTGAAGAGCAGGGTGGGGACAGGGTGTGTGAGAGTCTCCCTCTGAACTTCCAGTTTTCCTCTCTTAGATAGGATCAGAATGTTACCTATGTTGGAACTGTTGAGAAAACCCAAGGTGCGAGTATACCGCACTATAAAGAAGGACCTGTAACACACATGTATGTGTTTGTGAAAAACAGAGCCTGGCACGTAGCATAAACATAATAATAACAGTGGTACTTGGTGGTGTGGCAGGGGAAAGTGAAATTTTCTAGCCCAGGATGTCAGAGATTTCTCCTGTTTATCAAAGACATCCAGAGTAAGGCTGGGTCAAGGGAAGGGATGAATTCCATTTGAGGCCTGTTGGTTGAGATCCCAAGTGTCTCCATCAAGGTGTAGATCCTCTACAAGGCTCAAAGAATGAGGAAGCTGGAGGATTTGGAGAAGGAGGCAGAGTCAGACCAGTGTGAGGGTCATCGGGGATAGGAAAGAGGGTCCACAGAAAGAAAGGCAGAGCGGCCGGGAGGACCAGGCATGGCGACCGGAAGCCCCACACAGAGCGGATCCTGGCCAGCCCCTTTCCCTTGCTGACACCCTTAACCTCTAGCTACGGATCCTCCACAACATCCACGCTGCTTTTAAACCTTACAGCGAGAAACAGGAAACGCACCTTTGCTGTCTTCACATGGATACAAAATCGGAGGCTTTGTCCAGCCTCTGTGGCGGGCTTTCTAAGAGTCAGTCATGTTGTGGGCTATTCTCAGTCCCTACAGTTGCATTGACATAAGCTCTCTGTCCCATAAATATTACTGTGAACAGACATGTGCGTTATCATGATGGAGATTTTCTTGGAGATTCTAAAATCAGTGTAGGACTGGACACACTTGTACACCCTCCTGGAACATCAGAAACAATTCACTCTGGGTTGTGCTTAGGAGTGGAATTGCTAGGACGTGACACTGAAATCCATCTATACTTCTTGTTGTTGCCCTGGTATTTGCTTTTTGTTTTGTCTTGAGGCAGGGTCTCGTATAGCCCAGGCTAGCTTCTGACTCTCTGTGTACTTGAGGATGACCTTGAATTTATGATCCTCCTACCTCTATTTCCTAAGGCGGGATGAGATGTGTGTGCAGCAAAGCTTGGATTAAGTGGTCCTGGGGACCAAAGGGAGATGTTGCGCATGCTGAGCAAGCACACTACTAACTGAGCCCAAACACTTTCAACACTAATAACCCCAAACTGGCTTCCCAGATGATTATGCCAATTTAGACCCATCAGAAGGCTGTGGGTTCTTGTTTCTTCTCCTCAGCTTCACAGTTTTCAGTTGACTGTGTGAGTTCAGCCACTCTGGTGGGTGTGTGGCAATACAATTATACAATTATCAATTAACACAGCACCCTGAGATATACATCATCAGGCAATATTGTTGTTGTACAAATACCCTCTTTACACAGACTAGACAGTGTAGGCCAGCCTCTGGGCTTGCCAGAGTGAGATGTGGTGAGCAGGATGTGCCTTGCCGGGGTAAACAGTCTCCCTCTGTAAGCTAAAGACCCACACTCTGCAGCAGGAAAGGCTCTGGAGGGACCCGAGAGACAGCTCAGCAGCAAAAGGGGGCTGCTGCCACGCCTGGTGACTGAGTTCCATTCATGTAGGGGCAAGTTGTACACAGAGAGAGAGAGAGAGAGAGAGAGAGAGAGAGAGAGAGAGAGAGAAAATAAATAGTAAGCTGTTTTCTATGTATGTGGTGACCCACGCCTGTAATACAGCTCTCAGGAGGCTGAGATGGGGAATCACAAGCGTAAGGTTATCCTGAGTTAATAGCAAGTTCAAGGCCAGCCTGAGCCACACAGTGAGACTTTTTGAGTAAGTCTCCCAAAGTAGACATGTAGTATAAACGGACTTAGTGCCACAGGCCAACCCCAGGATTGGGATGAGGCAGGAGCATCATGGTGAATTTGAGGTCAGCCTACACAATGTGGTGTAATCCTGTCTAAAAATTGTTTCAAAAAGAAAGAAGGGAGAGAGGGAGGGAAGGAGAAAGGTAAATAGGCTCTTCTATAGCTCAGTGACATGTGCTTACTTAGCATGCACCAGGTCCTGGGTTCCATCTCATTGAGGTCTCTAGTTTTCCAGAAACTGGGTTTAATGTACAGTGTAAATGGGGAGTCATTTCCAACCCTTCTGTTTCTTTAAAGATAGTCTTTTTCCCACTCCATAAACATGTTTGTCAAGTATCGACACCTGGTACACTTTCTAGAATAGGAAATCTGAAAGAATTCCTCAAACTCAGAGGAAGTGGGAGAAAATCCAGAGGAGATGGAACTGACTCGGGGAAGTCACACAGAGCTCAGTTTCCAAAGGTGACAATCCAGGCAGAGTTTTGAAAGAACACTTCTGTTAAAAGGTATCCCTTAGTACCCTAATTCAACTTTCTTCCTCCTGTACACGAGCATCAGCCTTACCACAGGTGACCCTCAGATTCAGGATAGAAGGCTTGCCTGACACACACAAGGGCCTGAGTTCCATGCCCAGCACCACAAACAACAAAAACACAAACAAAGAGTCAGCTGGGTGGGACCCACTTAGGCAAGGTTGGGGCACGACCCGAGTCTGGAAATGCACCTCAACTCTGCAAACCCTGAGCACCAGCTGAATGACTCAGTGAATAGGGTGGGGACCCAGCCAGGCAGGTTTGGAAAGCCTGCTCAGCAGAGTTCAAACTGGAGAGAGCTCAGGAGAGTGAGTCCATCCGGCAAGGATGTGACCAGCTGGAAAGCAGGTGTAGATGACTTCACGGCTGGGTGGAATCACACAGAATAGAGGAGGGCCGGCATCTTAACCAGTCACGAGTCACATGTAGGCTGCTCAGGGCTTCTTCTCGGGGCTCCGGACAAGATTAACTAGAACGGCCTT